TATATATATATATATATATAGTATTTGTTTTTTGGTATCTTTAGATATAGATGTACTTAGTTTGTAAAACCAAAACCAAAAAATGTGCTTTATCTTCATTGAAAAAATTATGTAGTTAGAACTAATAACCCATTTTACTAGTAGTTAACATATTAGAATGATATGACTTAAGAAAAATACAAAAATAAGATTAATACTGTCAAAACTCTTATACCAGAAAATATTGTGGTTTTTAGACTCTTTCAAAGATGAAATATGAAAATTTAAATAAGCTCTAACTATATAAAGAATCTTCTGTAATCTCAATTCATATACAGTGGGATAGGTATACATATATTTACCATTGTTCTTGAATTTGTAAGCACCAGTCACTCGCCCCCATCCACTTTGGTTGGAAGATTATTCCTAATTCCACAGGTTCACTTAATGGCACATATTGACTGCAAATAATTACTTTATCCTTTTAAAAAAAATAATGTTCTTTTAACTAACTGCTACCCCACATTTCAGTTTTAGTATCTTCTGAGCCAGCTCACAATTTTCAATCAACCATAGCATCTGAAATAAGACTTTAAATAAATGCAAGTAGTCTCTTAGGCTTTGCTTTCACACACTGTGGGAGCACCGTGTGGATAATGCCTTTGGCCAAACGCAGCCATAGGACATGGTTTGTGTGGAACCAGGGTCCCACTGTGCACACGGGTGTGTGAGCACCAGGGTCCCACTGTGCACACGGGTGTGTGAGCACCAGGGTCCCACTGTCCACACAGGTGCCATCTATGTCAAGCAGCTCAGGTAATGTTGACGACACAAGGCTGAGTGGTTCTGTTGATCTTCACCTACAGTAAAGAAACTGCCACAAAACTCAGTTTTGCAACTGTTTCTGCAGCAGTTCCCAAATGAACTCACTTGTGTAGCACAGGAAAAGCTGCTGTTGCACTTCATTTTAAAAAAGCTGCCCACAGGCTGTAATGGAGAATACAAAGGTTCTACAGCTTGTCCTTTATAAATTTAAACACAAACAGTGTTGAGCAAAGTGACCACTATATATTTGCTTCAACATATCCAATGTGTTTCAGTAAGATGTTTTAACTATAAATCTATATGAAAAATAGCTATAAAATACAGTGTTTCTTGTATGGTAGTCCTTCAGCAGTTGTTTTTAGAAAAAAAAATGTCTTGAAAGTAAAGGCAATTACACATTTTTAAAAGCATTTCTGCATCACAGTTTTGGGCTGTTTCACGTACACCAAACACATTGGCCATATTTGCTCAGCACTGTAACTCAGAATGCAAGAGTTTGTCTATCTCACCCAAACCCCCTCAATCCCACACCACGAGAGAAACAGGATGTAGCCAACACAGCACTGTGAATCAAAGTAACGTAATTTTCATTTGGCCCTGTGCCGCATTTCCCAGCACGACAAGCAGTTAGTACTGGTGCAGGTACGACGGTCTGCGTTCGTGCTTTACTGGGAACGATTTAAAGCCCTTGTTCATCTGTTTGTGCTGGGAAGCCTGCTGGGATTGCTGCTGCTGCGCGTAGGCGAAGCCGGAGGAGATGCCGGCTGCCGGGGCGCAGTCGCTGGCCCACATGGGCGACTGGAGCATCTGCATGGCGTCGCTCCACTGGCTCACGGGGCTGCTCATGGGGTACAGGGACGTGCTCTGGCTGGGCAGCGTGCTCGGCACAGAGGATGTGTGCTGCCACGGGGCCTTGGGAGGCCAGGTTTTGGTCTTGTTATCCTGAGAAAACAAAATCAGTTGGGGGTGCTTGGGTTTAACAACAGAACGCTGCTTTTTTGAGACAATACTTAACGTGTCACCTTATCGCTTCCTTGAGATATTTTCACAAGGTTAGTTTATATTTGAAAGCCAAACTGATGCATACATCTAGCACTCTCAATTCTTAAAATATCTGCCCGTTAAAAAACATTTACTTTACACACAGTGGCCTCACTGAAAGGGAAAAAGGTAAATGACTTCCAATTTCAATATATTAAGCTTAGTGACTGACAAAAGCACCTCCTGCTATTTGAGTGCAGATGCTTTAGCTTTTCACTGAAGTAAGCAGTCTGGAGATAGAGATGCTTTTCCAGTTGACTGCCTTGTGCAGACCCATCCCCAAATGCCAGCAGGAGAAGGGACTAAGCAAAGCCACGCCGAGCTCACCTGACTGCGGTCATCTGCTGCAGAGAGAAGTGGAGGCGATGGCAGCGTGCTGGGTTCCTGTTCACCACTGCTGTGTTTTCTGCTCAGAAAAAGAGAGACTGTTACTTTTTGGTTTTAAATGAGTCACCCTCATTAATCTGTCACTGGCACAGATCAGTTTTCAGTGCGTGTGTTTTCAGAAACATTTGGTTTCATGTACTTTTTGTTCAGTACAGGTAAAAGCAACAATACAGAAACTCTCAGGGACATGACAATGCAGTAGTTCTTGGAGCTACAGTTGCAACATTTTTGTAGAGGTGAAAGGAAGCTGGGATAGACTTTTGCCCACTTTCAAGAAATCTGCCAGAAATTGTGGTTTTTTTCTGTTACCTGCTCTTGTGGCTAGGTTTCTTTTGGTTTTTTTAAGTATCTTTTCTGAAATAACCTTACAGATAAGACAAAAGACCAGTTGAGGAAGTGGAACATCTGCTGAAGCACAGTAATTTTACTGACAAAGAATGTTCTACCTTTAGTTTAATTTGTGACCTGACACCTAGTTATTAAATATGAGCCCTTGACCACATGTGCATTCTGGAAGACTTTTTTTTTTTCCTTGGGTTTTTTGGTCTTTTTTGTTTGGTTGGTTTGCCTTTTTTATTTGTTTGTTTTGGGGTTTTTGTTTTGTTTTTTCGTTTTGGTTGGTTGGTTGGTTTTTTTAGGAGGAGCGATTAAGGGCATGGGTTTAGATTAAAGCAGAGTCTTTTATTTCATCCTTTTTGTAAAAAACCCCAGTCAGCATGCTCCAATCAGGCTCCCATAGGTAAGCAGCCCTTTGCAGGTCACCTTTAGCACACTCAACCCTTCTACCTCCTCTTACAGCCCAGCTTTAGCTCTGGTATGTTGTCAGGCCCTGACCTACAGAACACTTCTTCTACAAGTAACAGGAGACAGCAGTACTGTTGCTTCAGCTGAGGTTTTGGTCAATTAAGCACTCTCTCTGGAAACTTTATTCTGCTCTTTAGAGCACTACATAAACCACAGGCTTTTCTTGCTCCATGATCAGTCTCCAGCTATCTACTGGCTTGGCATGTGGAGTCACCCTTATGAGTTTGTTTTCCTTCCCTGCTGCTTTTTTTATTTTTTCTTTTAATACAAGTAATTACTACTTTTTCTGTGACTGTTTATGAGCTGGCTCTTTGCCATAAATTTCAATTTAATATTCATTGAAGCTCAATTTTTGTTCCCTCCCTATGAAGTATTGGCTAAGTGCAAAGATTCAGAAAGTAGCTACTCTTATTCCTTTCTGATAATGCACACAAAAATAGCTATCCAGGTAGAATCTGTGAGAAACTGACACTGACTGTTTTTTAATTCACTAAAAAGACAGACAATCTTGTATCTATGTATTGACTCCAAATTACTCTGTGACTGTAAACAAATATTTGGCCACTTATTTCAATTTTAGAAAAGATTGAAAAATAGTTTGAGAGAACAATTCCAGATTGGAATTGGGTTGGTATTCATGCTTCATGTTGTGCCTTTTGTTACTATTGTTCTGACTATCCTCTGCTGTGCAATCACTGAGGTTCCAAAGACACCGAGCCTCCAGCCCTTTAGAAAAGCAGAACTGCTGTAATTCACACTACTGATAGAAGTGGACTGTTTGTAGCTGAAAATCCTGGCTTAATTTTCCATTACTGAAATTATTTACAAAGGCAGTTTGGCCTCCTCTTCCTACTGTGAGAAACAGAGGACTAAGCAGTGTATTTCCCACTCCCAGAAGAGCAGCAGCCAAGGTGAGAAGTGCACAGCAGGTTAGCAGCAGCTTCTCCCCAGTGCCACGGGCTGCAGCTGAGGCCAGCAAAGGCACCCACAGGCACGGCCCAGCTGCAGCCAGGCACTCTGCAAAACCAGCGAGGATCTCGTAAAGCCCCAGGAAATGGCATCCAAAGGAGACTCTCATGGAAGAGGGAAAGCATCAGATCTTTCCTAGGCACAGTGACCCTCAGTGAACAGCTGGCTGTTTGCACAGTACTGGCTTGTACAAGGAGAAAGCTGCTAACACAACTCACTTCAGGAATCCCCCGGTCCACATCACCAGTGTAGTACACAAACTCATGTTTCTGGAGACCCGTCTCATTGGCAGGAATTCCCTTTGTCTGGCTACTCAAATGAAATGACATATAAACAAAAGGAATATTACAAAGTGGTCTACTTCTGTTCATTTTGCTCACCTCCTCTGCTTTACAGCAGCAACAAGGTCTGGCCCTGAGAACATGGAGAACAAACTGTCTCCGTTAGCTGAGGAGGTCTCATCACTTGAGCTGGCAGAGTCTCCTTGAGTACCAGACCAGCTGTTTGTCACATCACTGCAAGACAGAAAGTTGTATTAGTCCTTGTACTTACAGTGCCTGGTCCAGACTGTTTGCCACAGTTGTGCTGGATCTTTGTCACAGGTGATACCTCAGAGCACATCATTTCAGTTGGTAAAATGTGCCAGTAATACAGGTACTTTCACTAGTTCTGAGTGGTCACATTAACTGCTCTGTCTGTTACAGCCTCTTTATATATATTTAACTACAATAACTATACCAATTAGAAGCACCTTTCAGGAAGGAGAAACAAGTGATGCTTGGGTTTGGAATCACTAAGTACTTGACTTTTTCACTGCAAAACTGAGCTAGAACACATATCCATCCTACTGGTTTTACACTAGAGACTCACTGCTCTTACGTTATGGACGAATGGACAGAGAATCTTGAAACACTTCTTGTGTAGTAAATAATTACGATTTGGAAGATATTAAAAACTACAAGTGTACCTGCTGTGAGGTACCTGCCTTTTAGTAGCAGGATTAAGTGGCTAAAATCTGGAAAACCGAATTCAATCAAGCACTGCAACTTTGAAAGCATCACTTTTCATCAAAACTGTTTAAAGCTGTTTTCAGAATACTCAGACAAAACTCTCCTGAATACATATGGGCTATAGATTCCTTATTTCCTCTGTTGGAGTCACAGTCAGTATCCATGCCACTCTAAGGATGACATCAAGCATGTCAGTGCCTTGGGATCAGCAAAGCAGGCAAGGTCACATTGCTCGCTCTTAACAGTGAAGTGCAGCTTTCACAGATGCAGCAGCAACTGAAAAAACACTCAGTATTCCCACATTGTGCCAAGGCTGGGTGCTAAATGAAGTTCCACAATAAAAACATCCAGCCTGTCCAGTCTCTTACCCCTCTGTGAAATACTCAGGGAAGGGCCAGGTTTTATGAGGATCATCAGGAAGAGGCCAGTTGCCACGCGTGGTGCTTGGACGACGGACGTGCTGTGCTTGCCTCTTCTGTTGCATAGCCTGGTTCACCCCAGCAACATAGCGAGCAAACTCTGGATCAGAGCCAACTGAAGGAAAGAAACCAACAAGTCCATTGCTGACACTCAGCGATTTCTGCTGCACTTTGAATGCTTTAGGTGTGACCATACCCCACAACACAGTAATTCCCTCCCTGATGATAAATGGCAGCCAGCAGTGGATAGGTCTTCACGGAGCAGTGAAGAACACTGAACAGGAAATGTTTTACAAAGATGAGATACACAGCATCCACAGTGGATAATAATTATCACATGGAAGTACACCTGCCCCTTGCATTCCATCAGGGAAACTGTGTTTGTACTACAATCATGGCTATGCTGAAAGGTCCAACATCAGCAGACACTGATGAAATGGACACTGTACATTTATCCACACATGTGAAAAAGAGCAGAACAGTTACTGTAGTTGATACCAGAGTGCAACATGGTTTCCAGCTATGTTGTGATCCTGCTTGGATCACACTAGAACACAGAGGGCCAAAACTGCCTCCTTCCTATAGTGATGAGACAATACTGAAAACATTCTGATTCTGACTACAAAATATTTCAGAATAAGAATTGTATTTACAGAAAAAAATCAGTAATTTAAAAATTCTTCCATTCTCAACATGTCTTTTGTGTCCCAAGCATCCAATAAGGAGTAAGCATGGTCTTGAGCAGACACAGCAAAAGCCTTAATCCAGAAGTGTTTCAAATGCTCCATTGATCAGAGCAAGCAATTGCTGTATTCAAAAGACTGCTGATAATGAGTCACAACTGTTTCCACAGCTTCTCTTTCTTTTGCCTTTTTTTCCTCATTGAGAAAAAACTTGGCAATCTGACTGGATTTATGGAAAATGTCTAGACTACATGCACAGTAATTGCAGTGGGAAGTACTGAGCTGCTGGCTTGCCAGTGTCAGCTGGAGATTGAGTGAAGACTGAAGAACATCCAACAATCATGCACAGCTCACAAAGCAGAAATCTCTTCCATCTGACAGCTCCCTGCATTCAGTACTGCATTTGGAAGATATGTTTCCTTGTTCTCATATGACACATCCAGAAAAGACCTTCACAGTGTTTTGCTGAATGCAAATTAAAAAGACAGTGAAGAAAACTTTGTTTCTCTGGCTCCTTTGTTAAGCAAGGGCTATCTGAGAGCTATCCAGGAACAAAACAACCCCACTTATGCTTGTTCTCCCTCTGAAATATCTTCACGTCTATTTAAGATGAGGCTGGAAGACAGTTCCTCACATCTAAGAATAGAGTCTAGATGGATTCTGAAGGACATCCAGGCTTTTTTACTTGTGGACAGCATAAAGTTCTAAAGTGCTGGTAATATTCAGAATAGAAGCTTGTGTTAATTTTTACCTCACTGAAAACATCAGGTGAACAGGTTTTTATCAGATAGTTTTTTACTCCAAAGGACTGGAGTTACCAACATTCCTTCTATTAGTTCTTATTGCAACATTCCTTCATCAGGTTAGTGATGACTGAAGTGCTACAAAATACATTTTTGGGACTAGTTAGGCCTTCAACATGAAAAGCCATACTTTTCAATTTTCTAAATTCTTAATCAGCAGTTTTGCATCTGAAGAGAGACATCATTTTCAGACTATAAAAGTACTTATCAAAAAAGCAATGTGGTTTGTTTCAAATGACAAATGTACAGTCCTAGGAAACCCCGGAAATGAAAAACACTTCTCTGGTTTACAGCTTTTTGTATGACACTAAAGCTTAAAATGCAGATTTCTACACCACAGCTCAACCTGGCAACTTCTATGAAGAAAAGCTCTTTCTAGAGGAAAAGTCTTTAGTTGGAAGGATTTTTGTTTGGTTTTGGCTTTTTGAATGCCAGATCTGTGAAAAATACTGTTTACTTATCACTACAACTGCAGAAGTGTGTATCTTAATCCACTGAGCACCCTTTATGGACCTTGAGTAAGTCACCTTTTCCAAGTACCACTTTCTACATCCTTGACATTCATCAAATGGAACAAAACAAGTCGTTTTTTGAACAGCAAAAGGAAAATACTACAGAAATAGAATGGATTCAAAATGCTGAGAATGTCAGTCCTTTGCATACCTGCTTTCTTTTCCCCACACACACATGGACTTAGTGCTTGCTGAGAATAATTTTGTCCTTCCTTAGAGGCTGTGATAATCCTTAAGTCTATACCCTAAGTATGTTTAACTAAGATGATGCTAATTCAGACTTACTAAGACAGTTATTAAGCAACAGCGTAACTACGGTGGCTATTTTTGCCATAGAAACTCCACTAATTAATCAACTAAGTTGACAAAAGAACTATCATAATTCTGAGTCAAAGGAGCTGGTTTGAGACGCCTACACATTCCAAACACAGCCAGTGCAAATGAGCACGGGAAACTGAGCCCTCTTTGATAGAAGGTTTCCCTGTTCTCTGCTCCTCCCTCCAGGCAGTTGCCATAAATGCATACTACAACATTCCTGCAGCTGTGCTCCAGGCCAACAGAAGTTACATTTACAAGGTAGCAGCTGTGCAAGTTGTTCTTAATACTACCATTAGAATCACACAATCACAGAATATTCTGAGTTGGAAGGGACCCACAAGGGTCATCAAGTCCAGCTCTCAAGCCAATGATCCACATGGGAATTCATCTCCTCTTAAATTCCACAGTCAGTTTCTTGGTCTGTAGATATTTGTTGATGACTCTAACATTTTATCTCAATTCATCTATATTTACAATCTATTGGTGGTCCAAACACATGTGGCAAATCTCATGGCACTTGATCTTTAGTCTCTAATCGTTTGACATCCAAACTTTTAATTGCAGAACCAGCTGTGGAACAGAAACCAGTATGACTCCCAGGGAATTGGGGAGCATAGGAGGGAAAATGTGGGGATATGGGGAAGATGCAACCCAGCTGTATCTCCAGGTTACAAGACTGCTAAAGAGCAGGAAGAATAATTTTGAGGAGAGGGAACACACCTGATCTCAAGAGTTTGATTTTAAGCAATTTTACAAACTAAGTATAGGAGGAACATCATTTGTAAATATCTTTTCAGTACTCTGCTGAGCTCCATAAAGGAAAGGTCAGACTACTACAACTGAGACAAGAAACAAGGAATTGGTTCCCATGCTTGCTTATTAAAGAGAGTTTTAAGATCACCTTCTGTTACAAAAGCAAATAAGCACACACACAAATCCCTGCTTGCACTGGTCAGCACCCTTACATCTGGTGGGCAGCACGGGGAAATGACACTTATTGCCAGCCATATTTCACAGTATTCTTTTAAAAAGGACCCTTAAAAAAAGCATAATAAAGGAAAAGACACACACCTGCAGGGTCAAAAGGCAGGATTTCTCCCAACATCCCAAACACTCCATCAGTTTGGTCACGATTTGGCCATGTGTTGTTTCTAGGTCCTTGTGGTTTCTGTCCTAACATCTCTGCCATCACATTGTCCATATAGCTGCTCACAAGACCCAAGCTGTACAAATCAGAGCTTAAATCTGAAAAACCAGGATTGTTCCACTGATTTATATGAGACAATCCAGCTCCAACAGCCGGAGCTTGCTGCTGTGAAGAATTACTGAGCCATTTGGCAGGTACACGTTGCTGTGGTCCAATAGGTTGAAGCAAGTGTTGGTAATACTGCATTTGCTGCTGCTGCTTTTGGGACTGCTGCTGGGACAAGCCTTGCTGAGGAGGATGCAGTGGGGTGTGAGACACAGACTGCGGCTGCTGTTGAACTGCTCCTGACTTTTGTTCTGCTGCTGTAGAGGATGCAACAGAGTTCCTTCTTTTCACCATCGGAGAAGTCTGCTGGGATTTGCCCATGTTAAAACCAGACAAGAAATCTATAACATCCTGCATTTCTTGGTCAGTTGGTAAATTCATACCTTTGTCATCCTTGCCATCATCTGGTTTGAAGAAGCTGTCCCTTCTTTCCACTAGAAAGCCATTGACGAGCTGGTTGGTTGTGCTCTGCACTGGCTGCAGGGCATCTGCGCTCCGAGGGAAGTTACCGATGTTCAGGATGTTCTGCAACCGTGCGTCCATGTTAGTGGGCATTTTAGCTTTCTCCTCTGAGCTGGAACTTATGAAGACATTTTTGGAAGGTGTATTGGGGATTGAGTAACTTCCTGTGTTACTTGTACTAGTGCAGGAAGTTTTTTTTGTAAACCTTGAAGTCAGTTTTGAGAATGTCTTTTGCAGACCCCCTGAAGATTTGCTTCCATTCCCCGATGGCATGTCAACTTGGCTCCCAAATTCTGAGATTTCACGCTGTAACTGGATCTGAATACAAGGCAAAGCTTGCTCCCTGCATCAGCAAAAAAACATGTATATCAAACCACCTAATACGTAACTGAGTTTGTACTTTGAGGGAAAACGTGTATTTCAATAATAGCTCAAGAAAGAAACAACACCAAAGACTGCCAAGTCCACCAGCTACTTCTTATGGTAATAAAGCAAATTATTCCTCATATTTGCAATAGTTTCCACTTCTTAAATTTTAGTTGTGCTTCAAGACCTAAATGGAGACCAATTTAATATAAATCAAGTATTTTTCTAAGAGAGAAATAAATACTTTTTAACCCTTGCTTAAAACCAAACCAGCAGCATATCCAGTCTCCTGTATCTCTGGATGTACCCAGAAGGTATCTGTGGGGATTAACAGTGTCTCACTCTCAGACTGACTCTTGTTTTCCCCTTTTGATGAGCTGGCACTATCAAATCTCTCAGCACAGATTATTCAACAAGGAAAGCTTAGTTTGAACTAGAAAAGAGATGTACCTTCCTTCCTTCCACCTGTGTATATCAAACACAGCAGTATAGAGCACATCTACCAGCCCCAAAGTCTTCTCCGGATCCAGACTCCTCTGCAGCAAAGACATTGTTGCTGGATCTTCTTTCAGACACCTGTCATCATTAAGTTTAAATTAGAAACCAAAATGCTCCTTTTTTACGTTAAACAATTCTACCATATCAGTCAGAATACAGAAGGCCAATTGCTGCACTCCTGCAGAATGACCTGGGAATGCTAGGGGCTCCTGGGCTGCAGCCCGAGCTCCGCCTGCTGTGGGACAGAGCTAACCAAACTGCGAGGTTCAGCAGCACAGGGTACTGAACTCATCTTGACAAGAGCTCTTTAGAGCAGGCAGAGCTCAGCACGGCAACGAGCACCGAACGCTCAACACCCCTTTCTGGAACAGGGCAAGAGCGTGACACAGCCCAGCCCGTGCCGGGAGCCCGAGCCCGTTCCGCGCACGCAGCAGCGCGGGGCGGCCGCGCCTCAGCGGCACCGGCGGCTCGGGACGCGCTCCTGCGCTACCGCCGAGCGCCAGCAGGCGGCGCTGCCCCCGGCAGCCATCCCGGGCACCGCCACACCAACACACAGACAGACACACAGACACACACTCCTTCCTTCTTCCCCTGCCCCCGGGACACTCCTTCCTTCCGCCGGGAAACAACACCGGGACACACACCATACATGCATACATTCCTTCCTTCCTCCCCTCCCCCGGGACACAGCACCGGGCTCTCCTCCCTCCGGGCGTGCCAGCAGCACCATTAGGAATAGGCTGCCTCTGTAAGCAGTCCAGTGAATCCAATGTGTTGTACTGAAATTCCTAACACTGACTCCTTCCCAATTAGACACAAGCACTGCTTCCTGCTCCCGCTGCTTTGAACGGGAAGAAGTCCTCACAACCTGCAGATCAACCATTCTTTACTAGGCAGTCACCTAAACTGGCAGGAACAGCATCTCTTGGAGCCCAGAGGTCCGTGGTTGATGACAGCACCTAAAGAACAGCCCAGTGAAAGAGCAAAGGCTCTCACATCAACTCAGCCAATTCTCGGCCTTCCTGAGCTACAGCTGGGACCTGCTGGGATGGACCATAACAGGAGTACTGGCAGATTATTATTTCTGAAACCTTCTCTTTGACCAACAAGCTTTTACATTTCCTACAAGTCTCAGTGCCGCCTGCACTGCCTCTCTTGCCTTAGGAATGGAGGTGTTCAACCAGTCCACATAGAGGAACTTAAGGAAGCTGTGCCCTAATTGTGCACGTTCTCTCTTCCATTTGTACTGCAACAATTTTCCCCACATATTTCAGTCACAATCTGCAGTACAGTATTTTTATTTACCAAGTTGATGGAACTTGCACCACAATTCTTGATCCTTCTAAACTTATCTGAGGAGCATAGGCTTCTTTATTTTCAATCTGTGCCGTGTCCACAACCACCTAGTAAGTAAAATAAAAGGGAAAAAATTTTAAGAATTAGTTATTTTATCACCCCTGTAATTAAACTCTAATACTCTCCCCTTCCAGTCATGCTACAGGTACAAAAAAAAAAAAAACCAAATAAAACGAAACTAACTCATGAAATTATTGTAAATTTACTCTATTTCAATATAAAATTAGATTAGTACAGAAACCTGTATTTCAAGGACTTAGTTCTCAGTTACATCCTGTAGTAATGCATCACTATGCCACTACCAGCTGCTCTACCCCACTGCTGGTAGTTCTCAGTTCTCAGTATTTTTGAGAAATTTAGCACAGTTACTACTTTAAGAGCTCCCAAACACCTACTCAGCAAAATGTTTTACATAATTTCACTGTAGTGCATGGTATGATATAGACAAGTAATATCCAGCCAGAAGCCCTTCAAAATTCCTAACACAAACCACCCCCTTTTAAGGCTATAAAATTCCACACCAACATTTCTCTACTCCACTTAATGAAACTGCACTATTATTAATTCCTGACTAAATACAGAGAAGAAAAGTGACAGTTCAGTTTGTTGGACTCTGAGCCACCTGTAAGACATCATGCAGACATATGGAAGAGTAAAGTCTTGAAAACCAACCCTGTGTCATGAACCTTTCTTTTTAGACAATGGCAAAGGAATGGATTCACTTCAGCTTCATTTAGCCTTTAATTTAGTGATAGTAAGTTCCATATTTGGTTCATGCTTTCTGTTGTAGTCCAGTCTGTGTGGGTTGGCCTTTTTGATCATTTCCATAATTTCCTATTTTGCTCATGCTGAAACAGCAGCTTTTTGGCAGCAATCAGCAGTTCTTGCTTCAGTGACTAGCAGATTAGCTGTACCATTTATCCTTGAAATGGCAGAAGTCCTCTCCTATAGCTAAGCCTCAAGGGACATTACTGACTTTGTTGCCATCACCTAACCTACATTGGTCCTGCTTCTGTCTGTTACTGGGTATGAAAAAATGTGAAACAAAATGCTGAGTTTCTTCTCTCTCACTTAAACAAAACCATAAAATAACACTTTATTATAATTATTTCCTACCTTTCAAATATTTTAGCAGAAGGCCTTCTTTTTACTTCAGTTGACTCTAAGCCTTTGCCCAGGTTTATTCAATTTTAAACATGTCTAAGCATGGTGATAAAAGGCCACACCATCATCCACCCCTGAAAATACCTCTCATTTTGTAACAGGACAATTCCAGTAGTTTGGTGTGTGTATATTTTAATTTTATTTAATTTGGTAATCTGCAATTCAGCCCTATTGCAGGGGTCATTTGTAACAGTTAATAACTGTTAACAGATAACTCCTCATAACTGTAATAAGGAGAAATGAACTCAGGAGTGGTTGTTCTCAACTCCCAAGAAAAACACAGTCTGCACCTCAGGCCTGAAGTCAGAGGTAAAACTCTGATTTGGGCAGGTCTGTGTCAGGTTCTGGTTGTGGTGCATGGTTGGTGCCCATGGTCCAGGCTTTGTTGGGGTGTTCCTCCCCCAGGACAAACCTTTGTTTCTTCCCTTTGCAAAAAGCTTTACATTTCTCAACATCTGTCAAAGTCAGGACGTCTGGGATTTCAACTTTACTAGGGAATTTAGTGCTCCTGCAATGCATGTTGATGTTTGCTATGGAAAGGTCTGCTAGCACAAAAAAATAATTTTATCTATTAACTTCTTTGCATGAGGCCAATTGGAAGTTTTACTTCGGCACATCCTCCAAATTCAGCTATTTGAATGTACATCACTTTTATTCAAACATGCAGATTTCATCAGCTGACCCAATCTCAAAATGCAATTCTTATTATACACATGCTAAGGTAAGAACTGAAAATCAGCACTTCAAATTATTTATGTTAAAAAACTACAGCCCAAAATAACCAAGCAAACTAAGTCACAACTCATGGTGCTTTCCCCACTTCATGAGTCGCTTCTTAAAAGGAACAAGGGCACAAGATAGGTTAAAAGCAGTGAGACTGTCAAGTGATGTTTGTCCCAGCTGGGCATTTAAGATACAGATCCACACACAATTCTGAATGAATGCAGACAGCCCAGTATCTACAGCAGTACACCAACGCCTACGTAATGCTGTGCCATGACTCATTTATCTGCCTTCTTCATAAAATAAACTTCAAATAAACACATCCTCCCTCCCCGCCTGGTGGTGCTTAGAGAACAGCTTCCTGTACCTCAGACGTCCATTGTTCTTGTTTTACAGGTGCTTCCTCTCTCCCTTCCACCCAAAGAACTCTTTAAAAACCCAAATTACAATTTCTTGTCACTGCATGAAGCTACATACAAGCGTAACTGGATGTTGTAAAAAAAAGGTGGCACGCAGTTTATAAAGAAAAACCTCAACCCTCATCCCCTTCTAAACTGTAACAAATCAAAGTGAGAATGAAGGAGAGCAGGCTCGCAGGTCTTCTGTCATGTGCACAGCTCATTATGTGCCTTTGAAGAGTGAAGCCTGCTACTTTCAGAACCTGATGTTCATGCAAAAATCTTTGGAGACATTCAGGATCCAACACAAGTGAAACTCCATAGCTCAGCACTGTCATTTGGGAGAATGTGTAAGCAAGTTTTATGGTGACACTCTCCAAAAGTGATGACAAACCTGAAGAATGTCAGTGCTTCAATTAGCAGCAGGTCTAACTCGTTATGTCTAGACTGGGGGACACCAGATTTCCAGATTCCTGAGTCCAAATGTGCCTCGTGCCACTCCTCAAACCCCCTGGGGCAGGACTTGGGTGTGCACAGCACTGAAACCCCCTGGAAAGGAAATGGTGGAAGGGGCAGCATCCTCCCAGGCACTCCTCATCCAGACACTCAGGAGCCACGAGCTGCTCCTGGGCTACAGCACACTCCCCAAGGGCTGCTGAGAAACTCCTTCCTCCTTGGCCTCATTTCCTGTACCTCACTGCTGACTCCCAGCATCCTACCAACTGTGGCAGCTGAAGACACAATCCCCTTTAACCCTATCCTTTTTCCAGTCCTCCTTATATTTATTAGTAGTTAATACACATTTTCTTTCGAAACACCTAAGGAGAAATTTGATAAATCCTACTATTCCACAGTTTCTCTGTCCCTGCAAAAACACCACCTTCTTATGGCTCCTTGTAAAACTTCTCAGACAAAGCACTGCCCTCCCCTGCCCTTCCACCCCTGCATCTCAGTGAAGCAAGGACTGACAGCAGGGGCCCTGCTGCTATGACAGTGATGGTCTGCACCTTAGATTTTAGGCTGCCTTTATATGAACAGTCAGTTGAATTCCAGTACAATTTCAACCTACTTCTCTAACAGGTATTTACTATTAAGGGACTATCTAAGATCTGATATCTAGTATCAAAGGGATCCCTAAAGTAGAAATATCTGGCCAATTCATAATTTCCAATTTATCATTCAACATTACTGGATAACCTTTTATTTTTAACAGTACCAAAAGGTTTAATTTGCTAGGATGGAAGGTCTAGGTCACCTAACCAGCTGTGTGATTTGTCTGAAAAACAGACTTAAAAATATGCAGCTATTTGGGTCCTTTAATCATAAATTCATTACAAAGCCCTCATGGTCCCCCATCACCTTGAACAAGGAATCAGCAATGAGCCAGCAAGAAGCATTTAACTCACTGTACGTTAAAGACTATTCAAAGAATACTTGAAAAAGTTATCATAGGCTACAGTGTACCTTTATCCTTGCATTTCCTTCCTATGCTGAAGGTGCAGCCTTTTCCCCTACTCACAGTAGTCCAAAACACCTACATGTCATGCACAAACACTTCACTAAGTGCAGAGATTGCAGTAATTAGTCATGGGAGCACAAATGCATTTTCTTATCAGAGTATGTTCCAAGCATCTATTTTTATCAGCTGCTTAGATACTGTAAATTCCACAGGTTTTCTTCCCCTCAAGAACACCATGTCTACAGCAGGCATTTAATTTTTCTGTCTTCTGTTGGAGATGTCAGGTAGCATTACCTGGTGCAGAGACTTGCTGGTTTATGCTGGGCAGGAAATTCAGCTTCCAATCACAGCAGAGAGGAAATGAAAAAATGGCAGGTTTTGAAGCTAATTTGAGAGGGGGTAGATGTGTCTTTGGGTCTGTTTAGTTTTTTTAACATGGTCATCTATAGATTTGAAAGTATTTCTATTTCTCTATGAAACAGAAGTTTCATTTCTTGTGTTCTCTCTTGAAATGGAGACCAGGAAGCACCTGGTGCATTCTTCTGTTCCTGTCAGCCACGGACACCACCTACAGACCCCCACTGTACAAGGACACACTCTGCTCAGAATCAAGCAAACTGCAGCACTAAAAAGAGAGCAACACAGAGTAAGACACTGCAAATTAACTTCTAAACTCCAAAATACCTAGCTTCTCCTCAGGGTGTTTACATAACCTTTGTTTTCCTGAGACTATTGGTGGGCACCTACCAGTCCAGCCTGGCCAAACAGCAGCTGCACAGCAGTTTTGCAGGCTCCTCTCCACGTGGAAGGGCAGACCTGGTTCAGCACTTCAGTCACGGGAGAGTCGTCCCGGGGTGTGAGTCCATTGTGGCATCCGGCTTCCTTGATCAACTGCAGCATTGTGTGCTGGAAACAGAATAAACACTCTGTGCTACCCAGCACACGATTCACAAATGGTACCACCAATGCTTCCAGATGGATTTGTCGTTGTGCTACAGCCTCTTCACACAGCTATAATGTCTGCAACCTCTCAGCAGTCACAGAACTGGGAGAGTTCCATTGCAGAACAGAAATATGGAAGATTGTCTCTGCTGTTTGGAACACAATACTGCTCCAAAATCATAAACAGTATTTCTGCTTATGTTCTTATTATTATAAACCAGTTTAATCAAAACTACAAAAAGCACTGCAAAGAAAACAGAAAAGCAGCATTTTGAGCAACTTATTATTTCAACTCTTTCAGGAGCAAGGAACTGGGTTTATCAAAAAAAAAAAGTGAAAGGGGTAAGTAAAATTGCCCAAATTACTTCTGAATGGACATATTTTCCATTTGTTTATACTGAAAATACAATTAACTTCTCCATAATTTAAAATTCTTTCTAAAAAACTGATTCCAGTTTGTAAGATGTCCTCAAAAGGAGCTCTGTTACAAAGTATTTTTTTCAAAAAGTTCCCTTAGTACCAGGCTGGGCTGACTTGTGCACCTAAGAAGAGGAAGGCACTGATATATGCATCACTGGCTGGGGAATCTGTAAGGGCTCACTTTCCTCTGTATTTCTTCATAGCTAACACATCTCTTTTCAAGAAGTTCCAGATGCTTCATTGCATCCTCCATCTCTCTGCCTGTTATGCCTGTGCTTCTCCCATATTTGACCAAAACTGCTCAGGTGGTCAAAATGTTATTAGAAACAGGTGTAGCCCTACAATGTTATCACTATCCTGTTTCCACAGGAAGCCAGGCTGAAAAAAATCACTTTTAAACACAGGTTTGGCATGAAACTCCTCTTATTGTTGTCTTCTACATTTTAATGAATTCTACTCTTTCTCCCCCCATCTTTACTTCTGTGGTTAATTAGGAGTTATTACCGTTTTCAGCTTCAGGTTTTCTGCTGCAGACTCATTGAAGGAGATTCCTTTCAGAAAATGGGATCCAATCTGGACAGGGACAGTGGGCAGCTCACACTGAATGGGCTGAGGTGGAGTCTGCCTCCTTCCTGTTTGCTGAGCTTCAGCTTCACTGCAACAGCCCTGAAGTGCAGAAGAACAGATCAAACAGAAGAAATGAAGACATCAGAAAATCCTAATATGGGTTCAAATGTTTGTGTATTTTAAGTACCCTTTTCAAGGTGAGGAGGGATGAAAGAGAGCAGGTTTAGCAGATCCTACCTGAAGACTTGCTTCAATTGCTTTTGGGTTCAAGTGGAAGCCAGCCTTCATTGCATATTCACAATGACCCAAGCTCTCCAGAGCCCCTTTGTAAGCCTGACATTAAACAGAAAGTTGAGAAAGCACAGGTGTATCAGCAAGGAAGCAAGCACACAGTCACTGTGCCTGGGTACAGCCAGGGACTGCTACAAGGATGTACCTCACTCACTTCTATGGCATACACACATTTATCATGTCAGACCCCAAAGCTGCAGTTCCCAAATACCTCTGAGCTGTCTGTGCTACACAATTCTGCAGGAACACACTCCTTCCCTGTTTCACTCCTTGACCCACTGACTGTACTACATGCACATGAAAGCAGCAGACTTGAAAAACCACCTGCAAAGCACTGTCAATTTTCATGTTTAGCTCTTTGAGCTGATGTTCAGGGATGGCCACAGTCTGTGAGCAGAAAAGCTGCTGAACTTCAATTCCTGCCAAACATCCATCACAGCCTCTTTCTCGCAGTCGAGATGTGGCCTGTAAGGTAAAATAAAAATCCAGGGGGAGGAGGGTAAGCATTAAACCAGGTCAAGCTTAATTAAATTTCAAAAAAGAACAAGAAAGTCCACAGACTTTAAAATCCTCTACAGGAGATGAGAAGCAGCACCTGGAGGAAAGGACCTGGAAGAGACTTTATTATAACTTATTCCACTTCTGCTGCCACTTTGGAAGCAGAACTGATGTAACCTGCACAGCTCATGGGTGCTGCAAGCACTTGGGTTCACCATTTGCTGTTATTATTTCAGCTCCCTGTCAGGACCAGGGATCCTGTTACACAGCCCACACTGTGGCTGTGGTTACCTGAGGACAGACTTTTAACTCCAGCATAAACAGAAAATATGTTAAATCATGTCTACAAGCCCTCCTGTGTTCACAGGTGACACAGTTCATAAAGTTATGGGTGATTACTGTGGTGCAATTTGAGAAGGGCCACACAATGCTGAGATCAACTTAGCACAGCAAGAAAATAGCTTTGTGCCATATGATTTTGAAAAACAAGAAATAAGCCAAATATCTACTTTTAGCTATGAAATCCTACATTATTGTAAAGCAAATTGATGTGGGTTATTTTCCAGTCTAGGAAGGAGTCTTGCTCTAAAAGCAGGATGTCCAAACTGGGGGCTTCTGGTACTACAGCCAAAGGACAGACAGGGGCTCACCTGACAGACAGGATACTGCATTTCCCAAAGTGAACCTTAAGGAGCAAAACCAGTTTTGAGCTACTGACAAAGTATCACCTTGGACTTCACTCTGAAGCAGCAGTGTTCTCCTGCCAGAGAGGCTGATTTTATAGGAAAACAGTGGATTGCCTTCCACTCCAAAGTAAAAAATTGGCAAAGATTTCAGTATTTCACATCACACTTCCATCAAAATTATTTCTATTAGTCTATCTACAATTATGAGAGAGAGATCTTATTTATTTAGAAACCACATATTTTTCTTATGCTATCCTGATACCCTACACAACTATTCCAAATCAGCAATTTCAGTCAATCAAAAATTGAGAAGTTTCTTCTATTGTTATTTTGGAACTATGGAGAATCTGTATTTTATCTGTCTCCTCCCCATATATATTTAACACAGGATTTGATTAGCACAATACTTGTACAAAACTCATTTGAAATACAGGTTTTGTATTTCTGAAAAACAGAAATAGGTGAAGAAGGTTGCTCAAAAGATAAAAAACAAAGCTAAGGCCCTTGATTCTGTGAAGCCAAGTTTAATTTTAACCACAGTTTAAGTAAATTTGATAGCAATTGCAAGGCATTTCTAGAAACTGTAGTAGTTGTAAGAACCTAAGTATATTACACATAAAATTACCTACTTTTATGCCAAAGAAGTACAGCTATACCAGGATTAGACCTGTTACAATTATCTGTAATACACCTAAAGCACTCCCAAATCCCTATTTTATCCAGTGAAATAAATTTATGCTGCAGTAAAAAACACAAATAATCCCTCTGCATCCACGTAATTCATTTGCTTTCCTGTACCTTGCAGATGTTAGTGATAAATTGAAACCTTGACAGGATTTCTAGTCAGGATGGGGCCAAATGAGACTGCACATGCTCCAAGTCCTCTGGATTTAGGGAAAACACACGCTCTGTGTCTGAGTCCATTCTGGGCTATCAGTCTCCAGGCTTCAATACAGCCAGGGAAAGCAGAAAACCTCATAAAACTGAATGTCCTTATAAAAAGCACTGGTTTTGGCTGGCAAAGTAAGGATTCCACAGATGACAGGTGTTTGTCAAAGTACAAGTCCAGAGAGTGGCACATTTAAGTAACACGGGTCAAGCAACATCAAGCTTAACAGCATGAAGACAGAGTGTTAAAAATTACCACAAAGATTTTAAAGTATAGAATAGAATTTGTGCTCAAAAATTGTGAGAAATAGACATTATCTAGATTATTTTTCATCAAGATTTTGCTCTGCTTTCACAGAGACTTGTTGAGGTTTTTATTTTTAATTCCCTCTGTCTGCCCTATTTGAACACTGGTAGTGTTCAAATTACTAATAACAAAATTCTAAGTACTAATTACATTACTAATAACAAAAATCTGCTTGCATTGCTTGTGTGCTCCTTATGTACAACCCTATCACAAAGAAAATTTACACAGGGCAAAGACAGTGCCGTCATCACATGAGCAAAATGAGTTTTAGTGTCTGAAACCAACTGTGCCACGTTCCCCCCTCCAAATGCAGTGTGCCTTTAAAATCAGGTATTTTCTTCCTTTGTCAGGACGCCCAGGCTGACTTCAGCTTTCACTAAATCTACTGTCTTACAGCAAGACCTCCATACCTCTGCTGCTCCTCTCCAGGATCTTATTGCATCTTCCAGCTCATTTGTGGGGTTTATATTCGAGGCTCCAGTCCCACTAACGTTCTTCCTCTCCTGAGCTACAGCTTCAGCAAAGCAGGAGTGTGCCACTGGCTGGACTTTCTGCAAAGCCTGGGACAGGAATTGGAAGTGGACCTGCATCACTGTCAAGAAACATCGCCCAAGTACCTGTGGGAGACAAACAAAGCAGTTTCAAGCACATAGAAGAGCTCATGGAAGTTTCCCTTCTTCCTTTTTGTTTGGTGTTTGGGGTAAGGAACTATGTTAAACCCTGTTTTTTTAAATTAAAATAATGCTTCAGATCATAAGAAAGAGATTATATTTAACCATTTACTTAAAATAGTAGGTGGATAAGTGAGCAGTAGTTTCTGTGAATGAAGAGGACACCAGACTAATTCTGAGTCATTTTTAGTTCTGTACTCGAGTTCTGACTACTTGAGGACTGAAAAGCTTGCTCAGTTACTTGGCAAAATCAAGCACAAAAATGGGAATAGCATATTACCACAAGGACCAAGTCAACACCAAAACCCACCTGCACAAAGCCCTGGCTGAATTTCTGATAAAAACCAAAACAGCAACAACAAACCAATAATTTTAAAACATTAACATAAAATGTAGGGGCTGGCAGCAGCTCACCCTCCAGGCAGAGTGGTAATGGCAGGCAGTGGGCATCAGCAGCCTCCGGCCCCTAACCCCTCACACGGTGCCCAAAGCTGAAATGTGCCACTGGCACAGTGTGACAGAACTGCCTGTGGGACACTGCCCTGACATGGCCCCTGCCATGCTCCCAGGAGGGCAGGGCAGGGCAGGGCAGGGCAGCAGGGCAGGGCAGCAGGGCAGGGCAGCAGGGGCAGCAGGGGCAGGGCAGCAGGGCAGCAGGGCAGCAGGGCAGCAGGGGCTCCCTGGGCTGCGGGCACGAGGTGCCACCCCCCATCCCTCTCACCATGCCCAGGGACACTCGGCCATCCCGGGCACCACCAGCACTGAGAGCTGCTGTGCCAGAGGACTCTGGGGCAAGAACAGCAGAACCAGCACCCAGGGACACCCTGCAGAGCCAGGCTTCCAGCAGGAACTGCTCCTTCCCTGCTCCCTGGGCAGGGAAAGGTGACAAGCGTAGAACTAGAGAACTGCAGAAAAAGGAGGATTCTCCACATAACTGTACAAAATATTTAAAAGCTATTCTAAGTGTTTCTTTCATGGAGTTTACCACACAAAGCCTTTAAAATGTGTATTTGACTTTGATTTATTAAAAAAGACTCAACTTGAATTCCATTTTAGGAATAATTCATAAAATACACAGATAATGTACAAAGCCATCATGCCTTGGAGCCATTAAATCATCTGCCTTATTTTCAGCTACATTCTTCTGGAATAAAACTATTCAGACACAATGTATCTTCCTGGCAGGACTCTCCAGTCACACCAGCAGCTCTATGCATTTACTATCTACTTCAGAACAACCAGTGGTGGCAATGCTTTTTTCCACTGCATCCAGACTCCTTTTGACATTCCATTCTGGTTCAATCACTTCCCTTCTTTGTACAAGGCATAAAATTAAACATTTTTGGTACTTTGACTGACCTCTGAAAGTGGAGCTTGCCTTATTAAAAAAAACAGTCAGCAAATGATAAAATTAAGAAAACTCCAACTTTCCTGGGTACGAGATTAGAAAGATTTATAAGAAAAGTGCAGGAAGAGGCAACTGGTGATCTGAATTATTTCTGCGTAGGAAGAATGCAGTTCTCAGGGGAAGATGAAACTAGCACTCATTAGGAATTTCAAGCTGATTAAATTTCAAAGAATATTTAAGTTACAAAGGTGGAAGCTTCCCCAGCCTGGGAATAATGCTCAAAATAAACAAATTATTTAGGTTTTAAGTGGCAGCACACAGCATTCCTACTTATAACGTACAATGTTAAACAGTGAAGATAAATAGTAACATCTGCTTTACTGACCTTTTATTTTGTTGGGAAAAAATCCATTTCAGCCTTCCTCCAAAATGGGTAAGGATGGTTTAAACTGCTTCACTATCAAAGAGGGGAGGACTTTTGCACTGTTAAACACTCCCTTTGGATGGATGGTAGATGCCAAATTCATTTTAAAGCTTTAAAGAGCTTACTTGGTCAGGTTTTCTGCCAAAGAGCCCCAACTTTGCCTTATCCAAGCTCCCCCACCAGGGCTGGGCACTGACCCCTGTGCAGAGCAGACAGGGAACCTCTGCTGCACATCCCTGAGCAGCATCAGCACATGGATGCAGCTTTCCACTGTCAGAGACACCACCACGTCTTCAAAGTTTATTTGCCCTACTTTGGCATGCAGAAGTGTGGGACTCTCCTCCTTCAGACCAGAATAAGCACAAACCCTGCCAACTGTGCAGGAATCAAAGCTGGAGTCATCTCAGGTGTCAACCAGTGAGATTTCCTTGGGAGTGGTCATGTTTCCTTCATTTCTCAGATTCATTTATATTGCATCATGAGGTCTTCAGCTTCCAAAGTTTTTAGTTTGGAAGTCCACCTTGACTTCCCTGACCTGTGTCAGGCAGGACAGCTTTTGTCTCAGCAGAGCCTTCCCTGCAGGAATCTCTCTTCTCCTGCTCAGGCAGTTGGAAGCAATGGGGATTTTGGTTCCCTACCAACAGGAGCACCAGGTGAGATGTAGTGTAGGTTACTCTGTCCCATGTTATCCTCTATCCCACTTTATCCTCACACAGTCAGCTCTGGAATATTGCACTGGACAAAGTGCACACAAAATTGCCACTTGTCACTGCAAACAGGGATGCCATACAAATTGCCTGGCAAGAAAATCTTGTACAACAGATTCTTTGAAAGAGAACACTACCAGTAATAAAGCAGCAAATAGCAGGTGTCAGTCTCCCACACTTGATACAAACACTGGCTTGCAGTTCTCCAAGTGCCATTTTATGCAATAGAACTTTCTTCTTTTTTTCCCTTTTTTTGGCTATTTCCTTAAACAAGCAGAATGCTCAAAAAGCCAAACACCACAACAGAATTATTCTGTGGTTTCCCCTAAGTGTCCTTGGTGGCACAGCCTGGCTGCCACTGAACTGGTGTGCCCCATTATGAGCCAACAACCTTCCTGTACATGACCAGAAACGGGCAGAATATTATTCAGTTTTACTATCTAGCAGTTCCCTGCAGTTCCAAAGAATGATCTCATGAACAGAACACCAAACACCTCCAAGGGAAGGTTCAGTCCTGCCCACGGGTTGGAATCACTGCAGGCTGAACTAGATTCCAGCAGAAGTTGCAAGACTTGGGAAACCCAACAGACTCATTGCTTCTAGCAGTGACCCTAAAAGGCACTCATGGTAATCTGGTCTTCACAGCTACTGAAGTGGTCACTATCGTTTAGCAGAAAAACAATTCAGTGTAAAGCATTTTAAAAATAAAAAGCAGCAATTAAAATGTAAGACAAAATATTTTTTTGCTACTAACAATTCCTCAACACAGAAGAGTCCGGAGCCAATCCCTGGAAATCCCAGGAAAGAATAATTTAAAAAATAGTTAAATTTGGCTTTACAATGTTTGTTAAGGAAAGCCTACATTTAATATTTACTCAGATATTTTTGTCTCACAAGATTCTTGTTCAAAAAATCTTAGGCTATTTTATACACATAAAAGCCAAAAATTGTCTGAATATAATACAAAACAGAGCACCCAAGAACATACCTGGTGCCCATCCATGCTTCCCTTTTGTACAGGAAGGCAACGTGAGCCTTCCTCTCATTACTACCACTTCTAAGACAATACACACGCCCTGTGTAACCAAAAGTAAATCTTTATATTTTGCATACTGAGGCTTCTGCAAAGCTTCACAAGAGATGGGGAAATACACCTACTTTGACCAGTTTGACTCCTCCCTATGGATTTGCTTTAATGTTTTTATTAACAGAAGTACAGCGTTACTGCATTCCCCCAGCTGACAAAGGGTTTCCAGAAATGGAAAACACCCTGTCATTTACCCTGATTTCCAAGCTGTTCCTCACCCATACAGGCACAGAATACCCAAGAATTCAAAGGTGTTTGAAAGGGGAAAAGAAAAAGAAAACAAAAATCAGCATTTGCATTTCTGAAAATAAGAAACCTTGGGAAACTCCATCTGTCACCACACTTTGATCAAGAGAAGTCACCTTCTTACACAGCCTGGAAGACAGTTCTGAACTAGCAAGCTTTGTTCTAAGTAGCAATAAATAAATTAAAACCCTCATCCCGTGGTGCTATAGTCCAGGGTGCACAACAGTTTCCAGTCCAAATTCAAGTCAGGTATGTTCACCAAAACTTAAGTTTTCTTGATATTGCCCTCCCTGGGGGCAGAGCCCACTACAGCAGATAAAGACTTGTGGCACTGAGAAAAGCCACAGCTCTCTGCTTGACTGCTAAAGGCAAACCTGCTCTGCTTGGACTTCTCATTCCTCCCCAAAACTGCAGCCTGGCTTAAGCAAGGTTTAGGAAAACTGCCATCTCCTTAGCTGGGCTCACGCACAGAAAGCCTCATTCTCATGTCCTTCTCATGAATTTGGGGTTCTGCCACACTGCACCCTGAACTACAACTCACCTGCCCCTGTTTCTGTGACAGCAGCCTCCATCCCTCAAACACGAGCCCCTGCAGAGCCTCCTGGCTCCTGCTCAGCTGCCCCTCAGTGTTCCAGCACCTCTCAATTCTCTCTCAGAGCTGTGAGTTCTTTCAGTCACTCACTAGAAAAGCTGACAAAGCAACTTCAGATACACCTGTATTCCCCTCCTGGTATTTTCCAGGGGAACAATTCCACTATCTCACTTCCCCCACCACTTCCCTGCTCAGTAAACTCTGATGAAGTCAGGCAAGCCCTTTATGTTTTTCTGCTTACATTGTGAGTTTTTTAATCCTGCTGGCAGTTTTATGAAATGTTAACTTTTCTATCCACCAGGGGGAAAAAAGCAAACCACTTTTTAAATTGAAATTTCAGCATCAACAGCTGAGTTTTCAAATCCCAGAAAAGCACAATGGGAGAGGATCTCACCAGGTCATCCTTCTGTCCCTACCAAGGAGCAATTTCACCTAGGTCAGTTTTGCCAGAGGCAGGTTTAACCTGTTCTGTCAGCTCTGCTCCCTACCCTTTGTAGCAATCCACATCAGTGCCCCACTAACATTACAAAGGATTTCCACAGCATCTAATGTGAATCTTTCCTTCTGAAATTTAAGTTCCTTGCTCCACCTTACATGGACATGAAGAACAGACACTGACATGTTGCCTGGCAACTTCTCACATACCTGAGCAATTTTGATTTTTCTTCTCAGCCTCCTCTTCTGCAGAGTCCATCTTTTCAATTTGTCCTCTAGGTCCTATTTCCTGGATGTCTGACTACTCTTGCTCCACTCCTTTGGCTCCCTCTTTCTCCAAGCACACCAGCAGTGCTGTGCACGTGCACTGCTGTGTTTAAGGCCATAATAACCCGTGAAGAGTTCAGTGCTCAGTTAATGGCTCTTGCAGGTTAGGGGTGTGTTAAATACATGGTAAATGTCTCTTTGCACAACAGCAGCAGCACTGATTTATTATTTCCAACTGCACAACACTGACTCTTCCGCAACACGACTCCCACGAGCCCCAGGACTGTTCTCCAGAACTGCTGCCCAGTGGGCTCCACTCTTGAGGCTGAAAAAGTCTATTTAAATATTGCAACATTCAGCTTTCACCTCTGAATTCCATCCCAAGTGCAAAACTCATTTGGCCAAGATTATTTTTAGTTCAACAGGTCTCTCAGCATACTCATATCCTGTGCTTTCAAGTCACCTACAAACAAATATACTCCTGTACTGGCCTCTGCCAAGGTCCATTTCAACAGTGAGCAGCTGCTGCTCCCTGGGCACAGCCACCCAAGCCCTCTGCCTGCAGAATTCACTCATCCACAGTCCTGATGACCCACAGAACAACCATGGAGTCACTGTCAATTCCCCACATCCTGCCGCTGCTTAAGCCAAAGCAGAGCACAACACTTGTCTCATTACACAGAAGTGCCCATAAATCTCACATACTGACCTTTTTCAAAACCACGTGCAAGATGCAGTTTTATTAAGAAAAGGTAGCAGAAAAGTGTGATGAGAAGTGCTGGGACAGCCCAAGAGGTGCAGGCAGGAAAGGCCAGGAGCAGCAGTTCTGCTGCCACTCTGCACAGCCCTGCTCCCACCTCGGAGCTGCTGGGCAGGGAGGGAGCACTGCAGGGGCACACAGAGCCCAGAGCAAGGGCTAGGCCTGGCCCGGCAAAGCCGGGGCCAGAGCAAATTTCTCTGCCTTTAGGCTGGCAGGACGCGCACCCGCCTGACACAAACACTGCTTTGCTCTGCCCCTCAGCTCCCTGCACAGCACAGGGCACAACCAGCACCACCCTGCCTGCCCACCTGACACAAGCAGCTCTACTGATGGCTCAGCACTTGGAAGGACAGCGTTTCCAAGTCCACAAAAACCCCTAGAAGACATCTAGTACTTCATATGCTTTTGCTTTTTTTAATTCAGAAAGTCTGTCAGCACATCTATTATAAATATCAATTAATTACATAAACTCACTCTTTTGTTTGCTAAATATACATTGCTATAGCTTTAGCTAAAGAGTGATGTTATTGGATTGCTTTTAAAAATACCAGCCTACAGAAGACATTTATAGCAAATATATAGCCCATCTTACTTCATTCTATACCAAGTATACAACACTGAGAAATGCAGTACACAACTGCAGGGAGAGCTGCAGGACAAACTGCATCCTCCCCAAGCACTCCATCTGCAAGTGGTGCAGCGAGAGACAGCAGGTAATGCCTGACAGGCACAAACAGTCACAAAGCTACCCGAAACCTGAATCAAAACCAAGAGAACTTAAAGCAGGTTTTCCATTCAGGATATAGTTCTGAAGGAATAACTCTGCATAAAGCTGCAAAGTGAAGAAATACGTCAAAACAGAAGGAGCTACTTAAAACTCCAGGGATTTATTATCTGTGACTATCACTTGACACTGCCAGGTAACACATTTACTGGAGGAGAAATACCCAACCTTCCCAGGCAGGCACGGTGGGAAGCTGAGGATCCTCTCTCAATCCTGATTCTTGGGTGCTCACTGCCAGCATATGAACCTTGTAGCAAAGCCGTGATGAATTTTGACAGCACTAATCTCTCACACAGGGTGTTATTTTCCTCTCACAACAGCTCAAAAAGACAAAAATATTCTAAACAGTGATAAAATCACTCTGTAGTCAACGAATATGTAGTTTTACTGAAACACTGATGACAATATGCTACTCCCATGTGCTCAGGTTTCCCTTCAAAATGGATAACACCAAGGAACCTGTAGGCTGATTCAGAATATGATGGCATAATATTTTTAGAAATGTTAGCTGACATAAACCAGAAAATGGTTTACAACTTTTGTCTAGTTGGTTCTTCTACAGAAATACCTACTAAAACCTAATTTAACATGGATGGAGGTCAGATCTCGCAAATGACTTAGTATTTTCTTAGTATGAAAGAAATGAAGAGCTTCTTTTTCCATCAGCATTACCCACAAACACACAGCATGGTGGAGAAAACTTTTGGAGCAGAAGGGATTTTGAAGAGAAATCCAATTAAGAAGGAATGACACAAATTCACGTGCAAACCAGTATCCTCCAAGGTAACCTACCTCAATGTCTTGTAGGCTGAACTCTTTTTGATCTTTGAAGTTCGCAGCTCCTGCACTCAGTTCCATCAGCATTTTTGCTATTTCTGGTTTTATTGCTGCTGTGAGTCGGCTCGCCGCTTCCATGACATGTTCCTGCACGTCTTTCAGTTGCATAGCTGCCTTAGAGTAGTGCGAGTTCCTGAACACGCTGCTGAAAAGGTCTGTGAGGAAAGTGCTCGTACGGCAAAACACGTTGAGTGCATCCAGGTATTTGGAGATTCCCTGCTGGATGTCTGCGATCGGAGTCGTGTGGGAGGCGGGGTGGGAGCAGCCGCCGGCAGCAGCCGGGGACACCAGGGGGGTGCTGGGGGTGGCCGAGGCCAGCGGGGCGCTCAGGGTCCTGCCCAGCTCGGGCATTTGATACTGCTGGTGTTGCTGCACCTTCTGCTTGGACCCGCCAAGCAAGAAGCGCCGCTTATAGTCCATTTTGCTTTCTTGTGCACTGCAGCAATACATAAGTGAGTGCTTGTCCAGAGAGTTCTTGAATTAGCAATCACTTGTCAAATTCCTTCCTCGGGTATCTATGTACAGTACCGGTGCAGGACTGTGTACATAGGTTTCACAAAAGGCATTTCAGAAAGGCGAGCGTCTGTATAATCTGTATCAGCAGTGGGAACGGCAGCAGATTTGCTGACTCTGTGTTTTCAATGTTGGGTGCAGCCCTGCTGCAGTTATAAACTGTACTCAAAAAGCAAGCCCAAGTATCTCAATAATGCTCTGTCCCTTTGTGGTATCCCCTCTGCAGGCAAAAAAGCAAGTGGAGCAGAGAAGTGATCGCCTTCAAGTTCTTCACGAGCACAACACCGTCTCTTGCTGTTGCATCTACGAAAATTAATTTTGTCAATGCAAATAATAGTTTTAGAAGCAATACCTTAATACAATTCTCCCATTAGTAGTATCAGGAAAAGTGGAGCAAACCACCGATCAACAGCGATTATAAAAGCAGTGCAGAGGCTCTTTCCTTGAAAAAGCAAATCCTTATGTCAGCAGATCAAATATCTCCAAATGTCTTGACAGATCCAGTCTGCCAACTCAGTTTACTTGTAGTGTCTCTTCTTAATATTGGAGGGGGGAAAAAAAATCTGGACTGTTTGCAGAAGACTTTGCAAGTATAAGCTATTAAAAACTAGAGTGTTTGTTATTGCAAGCCTTCTTCCCCTTTCCCTGTTTGTTGAGGTAGTTGTTTCCGTTGTAACTTTAAGAAGTGGTGCTTCCAGACTGCGTTTGCCCTCAATTGCAGACTCAGAACAAAAATGCACAAATGTATTTGTAAGGCCTCTAGGTCATTTCCTGTGAATGGGGAAAAAAAAAAAAGTTATACATCAGAGAACAATGAGAAGGTTTAAAAATTTAACTCCTGCAGTGTCCTGGTTCACATCTCTGGGCACACACTGTCAACAACACCCAAGATCCAAAGGGAAGAACTGCACTGAGCTGAAAAAACTGTTAGAAGCCAGTGTCATCCTGTGGCTAAACTCAACACTGTTGGATATTTTCTTGTTAATTCTTTCATTGTAGGCTGTCAAACTTAAGAGTCTGGTCAACCCCCAGTGCAAGTCCTGCACAGTTAAGAACAGTGCAAGGTATTACTGCACAGCTCAAGGGGAGTTCATCACATTTTGTAATCTCATCCTTTAAAAATAATTTTAAAATGAAATCAATTAAAACTTCATGCACCATAATTTATTGCAGAACTCTCCCATTCATTTTAATAGTTTAGTAAGTCGACAGATAGAGGTCCCTAGTTTTTTATTTAGTACAACAACAGACAAATCTTCCTAATCCTGAGATTAGCTGAGAAATACAACATTCATGTCCCATTCCAGTGTGATGGGCAGGCAGCATCTCTCATACACAAGGTGGTACATGAGGCACAACTGCCTAAGAATATGATTGCACTAAATAGCACTCAGCACATATCCAAGTAGGGAGGAAGCACAACTTCTGTACTGCCCTGCTCCTGCTGGCAAACCCTGCTGCAGCTGGAGAGCCAAGAGCTCCTGGAGGGCATCTGCAGGAAGGCGAGCAGAGCCTGAGCAGGGACAGGGATGAGATGGAGCACCAGGTGTTCAATAGCAGACACTCAAACAGTGTCAGGACAATATCAGAAGGATACAACTCCTCCCATCAGTTTGCCCAGTCCTAGCTCCAGTCACACTTCAGGCCACTCTCTCCCTTCTCCTACACACACCCCACTCGATTCTATCAAACAAGGGCGTCCTTTTCCTTACTGCAGCAATTGCAATGTCAAAGGCACTTGGAAGAATAGTCCAGGAAGCCTTTCATTTAACAACAAAATGTTCCTTTAGCTATTATATTTGAGCAATGAAATCTGTAGCAATATTGTCAGAATGGTTGGGGAAGAATTTCTTATTTCCACCTGTGTGAACACACACAATATTCACTCATTCATTCCCTTTTTGGCACGCATGTAGGACACAAGCATCCCACAGATAAAGAAGGAGGCAAGACACAGCAGGACAAAACATCCAGAGCTGGCTAGTCTCACCCCCACTAAAACAACAGGACACAAGTTTTTCAGGAACTCGTTGCTGCAGATGGTTTTGCTTCAGAGATCTGGAGCAAATATTCTTTTGTATTTGCACTTTTAAAAACCTAAAACTCAAAGAAACTCCCACATGCATTTTAGCATCTTTTAAGTACTCCAAGCTGACTATTTACCTCCCTAACTACTTCTCTCAATATTCACACTGAATGTGTCAAAATGCAAGAAACTCATTAAAACCGTAATTTTCTAGGATGTCTTGATGTCACATGCATAGCTGAAAATAATTTTCTCCTTGTTTTATGAGTTATGGTGTCTTACAGTGGAGAGCATGATTAAATTGGTTTCCTTGATTGCATATAAATGTAAATGGAATAAGAGAGTTCGTTAATTTAAATGCAACATATAAGTAAATTAGTGATTGTTTTTCCTAAGTAGACATGACATTTCTCATTGTAGAGGAACTTAAGAAATGATCATAAAAGAAAAAACTAAGAAGGAAGGGTTTTCAAGCTCTAGGGTACTGATTCAGATGAGATTATCAGAGATGCACCTCAGCTCAGTGCTTGTGATTACACACAGAGCCTGTCAGGATCAAACACACTGAACCATCATTTGGAATGGTTAAATATTTAGCTATTACATAAACCTGCTGCATAAAAGAACATAAATGCAATGCATAGGAAAAAAATGGTGGCTTCCTATTTTCTACAGTTATAAACAAAAATGACAAATCATTGTGTTTTACTTCTACACAATTTTGTAGTCAAACTTGCAGGTACTTACTCAACTCTTCAGCTTCAAAATTCCCTAGTAATAAAACCTACACAGAAGCTTAAAGAGGACAGCCTGTATCTTCAGCTGATATTTATTCAGAGAGAGGAAAGCTGCACGCCTCAACACCAGACATGTGTCTGAATACTATGTCTGAAACTCTATAATGAGCTCTCTGACATGCTACATACAAAATAAACATTCCTCATTTTGCATCTTTTTCTGAAAAAGTGAAGCGCAGAAGGTTCCCACGCCCTCCCTTCCCTTCCCCCCTGCTTTTGGTGTGTGCACTGAATGGGAGAGCTCCAGCCTGAACTGCAGGGACTTCAGGCCAATCTACCTCTTGCCACCTTAGGGGGAAAAAGTAACCAAGGGTTTCCTTCTAGTGACACAAGAACAGCATGTTATCACCCAAAATATAAACCTTAAGCTTATACTTCGTTTTGTGAAAAATAGAAATACCCACAGAAACCAAGTGAAGGAATTACCAAAAAAGTTACCATACCACAGGAAAAGGTATTTTAGTCCTTCCTTTATGTAATCAAAACCAAAACAGTGCTGTTAAGGTACTATTAAAGACTGTAACAGAATTAATATATAATATAAACCCAGCTCCACACTGAACACTACCCTGCTTGGCAAAACACTGCTGGAAAAGCTCAACATGCTGTTTGCATTCTCACTTCAAGGAGTTAATGCCAAAGTTAAGGAACTGCTGCGAGTTTGGTCTGTTTGAACTTCCACGGAATCAGACAGCTGCACAAGCTCCTCTAAAAATGGTTCTATTTGCATAGAGGAAACAGAAATTGCAGGAAAATGAGTGCAAATGCAAATCTGTTCACTACTTTTTTTAAATGTAGCATCCAAATATTTTTGCTTAGGTACTTCCCAGAAAAATGTTTTTTCCTAACTTCACCAGTTGCAAGAGACATGAACAAACAGGGAAGACTTTCAGACAAGTGGAGTTTGGTACCCCCCAGTTTGTTTTGGACCAGCATGAGGAGTTCAATTCCCCATCTGTCCTGTTTGGGATTACCCTGCTAGAAGAGAAAGCAACGTTTTCCCTGAATCAACACAAGGAATTGAGCAGAGGAAGCAGTGCTTTTAAAAAGATTCTGACCTCAACTTTAAAAACTGGCAAAAGCTTGCCTTCAGTTGGTGTTTTTATGGATTCCGTTGTCCATCCAGAGAATATGCAATAAAACACAGAAGAGTAAGATAGTCCAAAACACCTGAGCCAACTTTTTGAATGTAACATTTCATGCTGGTTTGAATTAGATGAGATACAGATTCCAGACCTCAGGATGAACTTAGGACCGCACCCACCATTTATGTAAAACAAACTAAATCCAATTAATGTTCAAAAAAAAGCCAAGTCCAAAAGAGACAACCCAGAGCAGCCAGATTGCTTACCCAGGAAAAGCCTGAACAAACAAACCCACTGCGAGGCCAAAAGGCCAGGAAGCTGCCAGAGCCAAGGGCCTCCTGTCAAAAACACACAGAAGTCTCGCTGACATTCAGAGATACAAATGTGGTGCAAATCCAAAGTCACTCCACGAGGAAAGGTGGCATTCCACCTTCACAGGTTCCTGCCACTAACGTGTACGTCCCATCCATCACCTGGCCAGGCCACCCAAATGTGAACACCTTAAACCAAAGGTATTCCAAATGGTCCTCAGCACCTGCACAGCAACCTGGCAGCAGGAGGGCAAGGGAAGCCTGTACACCACTTCCTGAGGACTGCTCAGCGTCCCTCTGTCCCCAACACAGGGGCTCAGGGCTGGAAGAGCGAGCAGGCAACAACAATTTGTGCGTGGGCATGGAGCTGCACAGAGCGGCCGCGGAAAGCGCGGCTGGCAAGGAGGGCGCGCAGAGCCCGGGGGGCACCGGCAGCACCTCGCCGGCCGGGGCAGGAGGGCAGCACGGAGCCCTGACTGCGGAGCCTGCAGCCGGCAGCGTGGTTCGAAAGCATTACTGGCATTACTGAAGCAGCAGAAACGGGAAGGAGCCCAGGCGGGAGCCTGGCAGAGGCAGCACCAGCGCGCCAGGTCGGGCTGCATCCCCAGGAGCAGCAGCAGGTCCTTCCTGCCCCCTGCTACACGGTCACTAATGGAGCTAACGACACAAGGGACCAGGACAGATGGTGGAAACTCCTCCAGGTAAACTTCTCAGGATCCCCATAAATGATCAGTTAAAATAAATGATAATATTTATAATACCTCATAAATGATGGTTAAAAACAACAGTCAGGTGTCCCCAACTACTTTTTGGGAGGTATTTTAAGACAGACATCACATTTTTCACTCAAGAGTTGATTCATTTTACACTCTCCCAAACTGAAGATGGATTACATCTACAAAACATATCTAATCAAAAATACTAGAAATTGGAATTTGAAATTACTAGAAATTGGAATTGGTCTGGAATTGAATCCCAGACCAGGGATTCAATATAACAAACAGTTCTAATTTCAGCAACAAATCTCAACCTGATAAATTAAATTCTGACTTTGACTACAATTTTTCCACTACTCTCATCAATCCATCTATTCACCACATCTATTAATATCAAAATCGCCACAGGAATGGCACCTGTCTAATATATTCAATCCACCCATGAAGAGCAAATGGATCAAATGAAATGTGTGTGAGTTTTTAAAATTTGTTTTCATTTTCGAACACTGTTTTGAACATAAAACTTTACAGAATAATACAAGAGCTGAAACTAAGTTTCAAAAAATCAACAAGAAGAGCAAGAGCCACCTTCAAGTAATGCTGGCTGACAGAAAATATGCATCCATCTTAAGATGCAACCAAGTTATTCTGCACCTGGAATTTCTTACCGACACATCATAAATACTTCAAGCATGCAAATGCTTTCATAGGGGTTGACAAGTATTGATTATCTTCACTGCCAGGGCAAAGGAGGCTTAGGGTTTTTGCAGACTCACTCCCACAGATGGCAGGATGCAGGCACAGGACAAGAGCCCCAGCAGGCCAGGAATGGCAGC